GAATGGGTGGTGGTTTATAGGAAAGCCAGGTATGAGCCGGCGGTGACGGGGCAACTGCAGTCTCATGGGAAGGGGGGTGGTACCGGCACGTCCTTCATGCCCTACCGAAGTCACGAGTTACCCCCCATGAGTGGCTCTCTGGCACTGCCGTAACACCAGACACACAGAAACCAATCTCGTAATTCTCTGGCTCTTTGCAGTAATCCAAAATCGTGGCTGAGTGACATTATATGATTCTCATAACCAGCTATAGAAAACAAAATATTTCACAATGCCTTTTCAGCAATTCTGATTGTTTGGAGGAAAATTCTAAACAATAATGGTGCATCTTTTGTCGAAATAATGAATGTAATCAATGTAGAGAAGAGTTCAGTAGAAATCATCTGCCTCACAGGCATTTGGAGGAGTAGGGGGGGGGTATACTGGAGTTCTTGGTGGAAAATGAGTACTGGTGAAGGGAAAGGTGTTTGATCATTGTATGACCAAGACTCAAACCTGAAAGCTTGGTAACTTTTCCCACAGTGATTCAATAACTAAATATAAAAAGAAAAAAAATAAGGTGGAGTTCATGCCCAGTTCAATCAGCTGATCAGTGGCTGAGTGAATAGCAGTACTCCTAAAAAAAATAATAAATAAATTTAAAAAAAAGAATGGGTGGTGGAGAGACTGGCACACATCAAAAAAGAACAAGAACAACCAGTGCTGGCATGGATATGGGGAGAAAGAGACTCTCTTTCTTTCATTGTTGGTGAATTCTCACCAACTGGGCTGACTGACTATTGTTTCCTTTTTGGAAAACAATATGGGCATTCCTTCAAAAACTAGAAATTGAGCTTCCATATGACCCTGCAATACCACTTCTGGGAATATGTCCCAAGGGTGCAAAAAAGCACAGTACAAATGACATTTGCACCTGTATGTTCATCGCAGCACTGTTCACAATAGCCAGAATCTGGAAACAACCTAAGTGCCCAAGAACAGACAACTGGTTAAAAAAATTTTGATACATCAACACAATGGAATACTATGCAGCTGTTAGGAAAGACAAAGTCATGAAATTTGCTTATAAATGGATGGACATGGAGAGTATCATGCTAAGTTTTATAAATGAGTCAGGAAGAGAAGGACAGACATAGAATGATTGCACTCATTTGTGGAATATAAAATAACCTAATATGAGACTGATACCCTAGGACAGTAGAGATATGGGTCAGGAAGATTGTCCCATGATTGGAAGCCTGCCTCATGAGCTGGGAGAGATGGCAGCTGGGTTAGAGAAGGGATCACTAAGTCAATGATGGTTGGAGGAATCGATCAGGATGGGAGATGTGTGCTGAAAGTAGACTAAGGACCAAACATGATAGCCTCTCAGTATCTATATTGCAAACCATAATGCCCCAAAATAGAGAGAGAGAGAGAGAGAGAGAGAGAGAGAGAGAGAGAATGGGAAAAATTGTCACAGAGGCGGGGGAGAGCTGGGATGAGGAGTGGGATACAGGGACATTGGTGGTGAAAGATGTGCACTGTGTGATGAGAGTAGACTATAGTCTGAACAAGATTGCCACTCAATGTCTCTTTTGCAAACCACAGCACTCAAAAGGAGAGAGATAACAAAAGGGAATGCCCTGCCACAGTGGTAGGGTGGGATGGGGGAAAGGGGGGTGGGAGGGATGCTGGGACTGGTGGTGGAGGAGAATGGGCACTGGTGGAGGGATGGGTATTCGATCATTGTATAACTGAAACCCAAGCACAAAAATTTGTAAGTCTACAACTGTACCTCATAGTGTTTCACTAATAAAAATTTAAGGAAAAAAAAAAAAGAAAAGAAAGCAAAATGAATTTTAAAAAAAAAGAATTTTCAGTAAGCACACACACAAAAAAAGAAAGATGTTCACTGGTGGAGCGATGGGTATTAGATCATTGTATGACTGAAACTCAAACATGAAAGCTTTGTAAGTGTCGCTCACAGTGACTCAATAAAAAAAATGGGCGGTGGATGTGTTGCAGTAATGTTGCATGCCTAAAGCATATTGATTTACACTACTTCAAACCATGTGGCTTTAATTAAGAAAAAAGACAAAAATGACCCTCAGGTCAAAGACACACTGTAAGGCTTAAGATGCTGGCCTAGCATGAGGCTGCCGCTGTCACCCTGGTTCGGATCTCAGGACCATATATGGTCCCCCAAGCAACATGAGGCATAGCCCCTGAACAGAGGCAGATGTGGGACTGGAAAGATAGTACAGCAGTAGATGCTTGCTTGTTCAGTCCAGCTCCAATCCCTAGCACCCCATATGGTCCCCTGAGTCCATCAGACCAGGAGTAAGCCCTGGACACAGCTGGGTATGTCCCCCAAACCAAAAAAAAAAAAAACCCTACTGGTTATGTAACAAGAAAGAAAAATAATCAGATTTTCAGGTTCACGAAAGAGTGAGGGGTTAGGGAGAAAAGGAGAGAGAGAGAGAGAGAGAGAGAGAGAGAGAGAGAGAGACAATAGTAGTTCTCCCAAAATTGGATTTTGACCTGAGGAAGCAAAAACATGGCACAGTGCCTCAGCTTTTCAAGGGAGTAAGATTTTGATACACTTCAAAAAAGAAATCTCACATATTTCTTGCAAACCTTTGTGATCTGTTCCTTTTATATAGCAGATGATAAAATTCCAAATGACAATGTTCAGTATGAGACATGGGGTCCTTCCTAACCTCACTCTTCCCCAGTGACAATAAATATCACCTTCTCACTGAAATGATGGTGGTCTTAAAAAGCTCACATTTCCAGAAATATCTCAAATGCTTTTTTAAAAATATGTATAAGCTACCCAGGCCCAGCATCCCAGACCCTCCTGCTTCTGCCCATGATCAAAGAGGGTTCAACTTTAGGAAGCCCAGTTATTTATTTATCTTATTAGCATTTCAAGGGGAAAAAATAAAATGGTCATTTTACCTGCTGTGCTATTGCTCCAGCCCTAGAAATAAATATCTTAAATAAGAATAAAAACTATCTCCTGTCATAATATAGAATACTATATCAGAATACAGGAAATTAGAGAATTTTTGTGAAAAATTTCACAAGGAGAAATTGAATAAAGAGAAGATGGGTGGTGAAAAAAAAAGCTATCTCCAACATATTTCTAGTTCATATGTAAAGGCAGCTTCAAGCTTAGTGTGCTATAAGACAAGAATGGTCACTCTCATGAATTAGCCATGAAGGTCTGAAGGCATAGATCCAGGATTAAATAAGAAAAAGTCATAGATTTGTATAAATGTTTATTATTTTCCAAACCTGTAAAATGCATGAGAATCAATTGAAAACTACTGCATATAGTAAAACAATTCATTAATAAACTCCCATTCATTATACAAAACCAAACGAAATATAAAACAAAAGATTCCATTTATAAATTTAAAAATTTACATCAAAAAGAAAACTAAAAATTAATGAAATCAAAACATGCAAGATCACTATGAATTTTAAAACACTGCTGAAAAAAAAAAAACAAAGACTTGAATGAGAGACCTGAGAGATAGTACAGAGAACAGGGGAACTTCTCTTGCATGTGACTACCTGACTCTCACTAAGGTCCCTTGAGCACTGCCAGGAGTGATCCCTGAGTGCAGAGCCAGGAGTAAACTTTAAGCACAGATGAATATGACCAAGAAAGACCATCGTCCTCCACCCCAACCCCTCCCCAAAAACCCAAAAAAGATGAACAAGTATCTAGAACTGTGTAGGAACTTCAAATCATGCATAATAACCACTAATATTTACTAAGTGTTTCCTATGTACCAGACACTCCTGCAAGTATTTTACATCGTGCAACTCATCAAAAGTGTAAATTATTTTTAAATTAATATGCAAACTTAACATGATTGGAATACAATCCATTATGCATATACTACCTATTGAAAAAATAAGATGTAATTTTAAAAGCTGAAAGGCCAGGGCTATAAGTCAAGTGACAGAACACATATCTAACATGAGCAAGAACCTGAGTTCAACCCTGCCACTGCAGGGGCTCCTGAGCACTGCTGGGTCTAACCACTATAAGGAAAAAAATATAGGTGCTGGGAAAGACACATGAAAAGGTTGGAGTACATGCCTGGCATACATGAGGTCTTGGGTTTGATCCCCAGAACCACAAGTTCTCCCCAGCACCACCAGGCCCAAAGGTCTGCACAGTTGGGGCCAGTATCACTGGTGGTAGTCCCTAGGCTCCCTGAATACTACTGGAGAGTGCCCTCTGCCCCCCAAAAGTAATTATCAAAAAACTTAATTCCAACAATTCAAGCTGACATTACAAAGACCATACTAGATTTTTAAAACTCTTGAAAAAAGAAGAAGGGTACCAGAAGCATTAGGTTGAAGGAATGAAGGACAATTCAAAGATCCAGAGTACAAGCTTTGTATGCAGGAACCCAGGACTGGATTCCAGGCATCCAGGCCCCTCCAAGCACCAGAAGCAATCCCTGAGCACACCAGAGAAGTTTCTGAGAAGCCCCTGAGGATTATTGAGTATGACTCAAATCAGAACCAGTAGGTTGGACCTAACAGAGGATGTTTCTTTTGCTTGACCAAGACAATAGCTCTTCAGAACCTCAATTTTTCAGATGATTTGTCAACCTCAATTTGCCTCCCCAAAGGTCTAGAGAAAGTCCAGAAGCCCCACAAAGATTGACTTGACACGAACATAGAATGCTGCTAGAACATTCCTTCCCAACCTTAGATCTCCAGGAACGACCAACTTAGGCAGTTCACACAGAGGGAAACCAAGTTTGCAGTGGACTCAGTGGTGGTTTCTCAGTTACCCCTCTTTTCTGGGGTCCTCCCTGACCCAGCCTCCCAGGGCACCCATTTGTGGCAGCATCTCACTTGTCTGCATGGAGCAGCAGAGTCTCCCAAGAGCAGTCACCTGCATAGAAATTTTATCATCCCATGGGCTCTTGCAATGGGCTCTTGCAAATTGAGTAGGCCAAGCAAAGGTGCCAAAATGCGGCTCCTACCTGACACCATGCCCAGGAGAGCCAGGAGAGTGACCGCTGAGAACATACTAGATGGTGTGCCTCGGTTGATCTTCCAGCACAGCACAGGAGCCGAGTCCTGCCTTCCAAAGTCGATCCAGATCCCACTCATTGTCCCCTCCTGATTGTGTTGCCAGGCAAGAAACCAAACAGAGGCTTTGGTGGTAACTAAGGGAGACACCAAACACCACAAGACTGTTCTTTGGTTGCCTGTTTCTGTGGCAGGGAGAGAGCCACCAACCCAGGGGCCACCGTAAAAGGTCACGTCTGCCCTGTTTCTCAACAGAGAGATACAAAGAGAAGTGAAAGGGAGGAGAATTGAGATGGGTATTGAGATGATGTGAGAGTCAGATGTGAGCACACACAGTCTTGATAACCCTGTCTACCCCACTTGCTGCATTTTCTTGAAATAGGAGTGAGAATTCTGCCACTGCCCCACGTGGATGAGGAAGACTCTGGGTTAGATACTATCTGGCATTTCTTCTAAAGAGAGGAGTCAAGAGGGTCCTCAGGGCTGACTCCCTCTAACACCACTGACCCTTGGCCCCTCAGAGAAGTCTGTGAGAAAAACTATTGGGGCAGTGAGGCTTCTGCCCCCTGGGGAGAGGTGGTCCATCCCTCGGGGCTAGACAAACCTAACCTTTCAGAATTCAAGTTCTTCCTTAAATGAGGAAGAATGATGCCTTTGTACTGCATTATTGCAAGAAACACATGAAACAATGAAGTAAAATAAAGTGGCCTGATATCAGAGACCTGGTCCAGAGATTAAGGCGCTTTTCTCGCATACATCTGACTGGGGTTGGATCCCCAGTTGCCAGGAGTGATCCCTGAGCACAGAACCAGAAGTAACCCTGGGTACCACCAGGCACGAGACGAAGAAAGGAAGGGAGGAAAGGGGGGGGGAGGGAGGGAGGGAGGGAGGGAGGGAGGAAGGAAGGAAGGAAGGAAGGAAGGAAGGAAGGAAGGAAGGAAGGAAGGAAGGGAAGAAGGAAGAGAGGGAGGAAGAGAGGGAGGAAGGGAGGGAGGGAGGGAGGAAAAGAAGGAAGGAAGGAAGGAAGGAAGGAAGGAAGGAAGGAAGGAAGGAAGGAAGGAGCAAGCCAGGTAGATGTCTCAAAAGTACATGCTTTCATATGGGCACCCTGAATTTGACCCCCCAGCACCAAATGGTCCCCTAAGCATGGCAAAAATAGCCCCAGAAACCCAACAGGAATAGTCCTAAAACAACAGCAGCAACAACAACCCAAAACCCAACTGTGACAAAGGCTGAAGCACAGTAGTTACTCAGTGAGCATGGGCTGAAAAAGAAGGACAAATAAGCAGTTGCCAAGTTACCAATTCTCACCTCTCCAGTTTTTTCCCTGTCATATTAGTTACTGTAAATAATCCATTTCATTATGCATAATTGAAGCTGAAGTGATGGCTCAGATTAAGTTATGGAAAACGTCAGAATAATTAACTCTTAGAATCAAAGATATTCACATCTGCTTAATTTACAGCTTGGCTGCACCCTCTTCTTCCTGTTGCCTTGTTTTTCCTAGGATTGGGGACGTCTCCCCTGCCTTCCCTACCTTGGGCCAGAGACTAAAAGGGTATTAGTTGGGGCTGGAGCAATAGTACAGTGGGTAGGGGGTTTGCCTTGCACGTGGCTAACCTGAGTTCAATACCCAGCATCCCATATGGGTCCCCTGAGCACCGTCAGGAGTAATTCCTGAGTGAAAAACCTGTGCATCGCTGGGTGTGACCCAAAAAATTTTTTTAAAAGTGAGGGTATTAGTTGGGGATGGGGTTATGGGACTTTTCCGTCCTATGATTGTGGCTTCTATCTCCAGGGTGGAGGTCTTTTATGTCCTCATCATGTTCTATGGGGACTGGGGAGTGGACCGTGAATTCCCCCTTTATATACACACTTGTTCTGGGTGCCAACATGCGAGGCCACCAGGGCTCAGTCTGGTATGATAAATGATATCCTGAAAGCAAAGCCGGAACTTTTATTGCGGGCAATCACCACTTTTGTTTCGATGCAGGAAGGGTAGCTGCCACCCACACTCACACACTCTTCTCCACACAGCCTCCTGCAGTAGTTCAAACCCTTAAAACAGAGTATTACAAGGAAGGGGCTTCCTGTGGGACCCATCTATTGAGAAATGTCTAATTTGCCAGCAAAGATGCCCATGTTCCAAACATTCATGGGCTCAGAACTTAAAGCTTAACCTCACGCAGATGCACTCTGAGAAATGGAACCGAAAACAAGGGGCATCCAGTAAATATCTCATTTCTGGAAAATGGACATTTTCCTCCTGACCAATGTGCATCCATCTCTGTCCACTCTCAAGCTAATGAGCTTTTTTGCTTGAACTCTGACAAGATCATCTCTCCATAAACACAGACCAGCCCAGGTCCTCTAGGGGTTCGCCTGTCCTTGCTGTAGGATGAGATTTCTGAATTGCAAATCTTCAGCTCTTTCTCCAGTCATCTCAGTTTCTGGTCTTTTGAACTTACCTCAGTTTACCTCTTGTATTTTGACACATGTCATACTGCTAATGCATAGCTAGTGCTCAAGAAACTGTAGATTTCTTAAATGTATTTTCTACTCCCCTGTCTTGTGCTGTCTCTCTGCCATTCCAAACACCCACCCGATGAGAGCTACCTCCACTCTTTCAGGAGAGGAAATAAAGAGGCGCCATGGCTTTCCCCAGAGGACCGTGGAGCCCCTATCCTAATCCTTCACTCCTTTTCCTAAAACAGACGGTGACCTTTGAACCTGAATTCTAAGCAACATCTTGAATTTTCCCCACCCCTGTCTCTCCTTAATCTGTCATTTATTCCAGGGGGCTCAGCTAAGACCTCAGCAAAGTAGAGGAAATTATTCCTCCTCTGCTCTAGGGCTTTAATTTTTCAAAAAAATCATTTTGATTTGCTCAGAATTTGGGCTTAAATACCTTAATAAGGCAAGGAGAAGAGGAGGAACAGAGGCCTTTTGAAGGAAGAGGATATGATTTTTTTTTTAGGCAAGATGAACGAGTCCTCTGATGGGAGGCAGATAGTGATGGTTCCTCTGCTAGAGGGCTGCCTGCTTTCTCCTGTGATCAGAGTTTGCTTTGCGTGGAGATGAAACTCCCAGAGAGGAGAGTCAACGCAATTGAGTTCCTTCTGGAGGATCCATTTAATAGATCCTCTCGCAGAGGCGAGGAGTTCAACCTTTTCCTATTTTTGTCTTTATTTGTTCTCACTGCCCTGCCCAGGATCAAACCCAGGGACTTGCACACACAAAGCTCATCCTCTACTGCTGAGCCACATTCAAGCCACATTTGTTGTTTCTCAACAGTCCTCAGTTCTCAATAGTTAACGTTGCAAAACTGCGTTTCTCCGGGTGGCAGTACATAGAATCCTACGGGGATGGGATATTCTGCTACTCTTCTCTCCATCTTCAGGAACCATGGGAAAGGGTGAGGTCGGGGGAGTTGCCTTGGTTTAGTTGGGGGCGGGGGGTGGGGAGAATGAATGAGTCAACTTCCCTAACCAACACCAGTTCACTCACATTCTAAGTTCCCAGGAGTTAGAGCCGCAACCGATCTATGAGGAGACACATTTCAACCCCTAACAGAAATTGGTGCAAGGGGGCGGGACATGAAGTGTCAGTGGTGAGAGGGTGCCTTTGCACATTTGCACTCCACTTCCCTCGTCCCACTCCCACAGATGTGACCACTGTCAATAATAACACCGTCTTGGCATGACCCCTCCCTTGTCTCTCCAGGCTGCAGTGGGAGGAGCAAAGCTGCTTGGGTTGGGGTGAGTTAACAGAAACCAGGAAACAGAAACACATCTGTGGGCCTGGAGCAGTATAAAACAGCGGATAAGGCATTTGCCTTGCACGCGGCCCACCTGGGTTTGATTCCCAGCATCCCATATGGTCCCCTGAGCACCGCCAGGATTAATCCCTGAGTGCAAAACCAGGAGTAACCCCTGTGCATTGCCGGGTGTGACCCAAAAGCAAAAAAGAAAGAAACACATCTTCATAAATAGACCTGAATATAATCATTCAAATACAGACTGTAGGACTAGCCTCTGGGAAAATGATGTAGCTTAACAAACAATAAGTAATGAATCAGGGAAGGTAGAGGGGAAACTACCAGACTAAGAACTGCCCAGAGACCTTGGAACCCTCACATTTGTGTTGCTGGCTTGTGTCTTCTCAGAAATGCCACACCTTCCCTCAATCAGGGCCTTTGTGGGGACAATTTCTGGCCTGGAACCTCCTCCTGTGCTTCCCCAGAGGGACCCCTTCTTTTTAAAAAAAAATTTTTTTTAATTGGGCCCTCCCGTTGATAATCGATTTGCTCGAGCAGGCCCAGTAATGTCTCCATTGGAGACTTTGTTGTTACTGTGCCTGGCATATCGAATACTCTCGGTAGCTTGCCAGGCTCTCCGAGAGGGGCGGAGGAATCGAACTCGGGTCGGCCATGTTGGCTGCGTGCAAGGCAGACGCCCTACCCGCTGTGCTATCGCTCCAGCCCATTTTTTAATTGAATCACTGTGAAATACAGTTACAAAGCTTTCATGTTTGAGTTTCAGTCATACAGTGATCAAACATCCATCCATTCACCAGTGCACATTCTCTACCATCAATGTCTCCAGTATACCTACCCCCTTTCCAGCACTCCCCTGGCCTCCATGGCAGACAACTTACCTCATACTCTCTCTCTCTGCTTTGGGGCATTATGGTTTGCCGTACAAATACCGAGAGATTATCAAGTTTGAGGACCCCTTCTTTACAACCCTCAGTTCTCAATGACACTATCCCTTCCTTGATTCCCTGTTCCTCTACCCACTCCCCCTCTCCCTCCTATCTTCTGGTTCCTTATTCAGAGTTCTGACCACAACGTTCACACTTTCTGTCTTTGTGAGATTATTTGTAAACAGCCATCAGATTGCAAGCCCTGGGAGGTGGGACCAGTGTTTTGTTTTGTGCCTGACAATAGTCCAGTGGAGACACAGCAATTAACTTATGAAATAAAAGAACGAATCAACTGAAAAATGTTGAACTTGAGCTCAAACCAGTGGCAAGATGA